TTATAATATCGTGAAATGAATTATATTACACATTTTCTCTATTCACACTGAATTTAAAGATCATAATGATTAAAAATCAAGTTGTCCTATGGTCATTTATCAAGAATAATCATAATAAAGTTGAAATTATTGTGTTAAATAATTTTTTTAATACGTATTAGGAATATATTCAGCGTTCGCTTGTTACAATACCTTGAAATAAATGAAATTAAATGAAACCATGAAATAAAATGTACAGTATATTCTCTACAAGAGTCTGTAAGTTTGGATTCTAATTTAGTTTGGATATAATTTATTTCATGGTATTGTAACTAGCAAACTTTGAATAAATTCCTAATTCGTATTAAAAAAATTATTTAACACAATAAGTTCAGCTTTATTATGATTATTCTTGATAAATGACCACAGGTCAACTTGATTTTTAATCGTTATAGTCTTTAAATTCAGTGTGAATAGAGAAAATGTGTAATATAATTCATTGACAAATTCATTAACAAACGTTGAATACATTTTAGATTCGTGTAAGAAGAATTATTTAACACGATAAATTTAGCTGTACTATGACTATTTTTAATCTACGACCACAGGTCAACCTGATATTTATTTCATGGTATTGTAACAAGCAAACGTTGAATACATTTTTCATTCGTGTAAGAAGAATTATTTAACACGATAAATTTAGCTGTACTATGGTTATTTTTAATCTACGACCACAGGTCAACCTGATTTTTAATCCCTACGAAATTAATTTAACCACGAGTAAGTAACGAGAACGCTAAAACCTATGTTTCCATTGAAGAATATTGTAAAAACGTATAAATTGTTATATGCAATGTTATAACAAATTGTCGGAAGTATAAATTTTTAATAAAATTGTGAAAATTGATAAATTATACCGTGTTACGATATCGGAAATCTCCCGCGAAAATCTCCCGCGAAAATTTCCCGCCTGACCTAACCGACGATTTTGCTAATGACTTTGGGGAGAGGGTACCGCAGGTATATAAGGACCCGCCGATGTCCCGCGAAATCATTTACCCTTTATACTGGGCCCTAGACACTTCGCGGCGTATTTTGACCTGAAGGTTCTGAGATGTGAATAGAGTGGTCGGGGGCTACTAGCTAGTCTATGTCCACCCTGTACACACTCAGCCTTCTTGTAACACTTGTATACATTAGAATCAATTAGAATTTCTATTACTAATTATTAAACAAATTTTAACAATTACCGGCACTCGCTAGGCACGTAATATCAGACTTTAAATACTCGACTTCGAACTTCGGTTTAGTCATAATTCTATTAATGTTATAATAACGTATAATTTATTAATTTTCACAATTTTATTATTAATTTATACTTCCAAAAATTTGTTAAAACATTACATATTATTATTTATACATTTTTGCAAGTTTCTTTGACAAATAAGTACGTTTCAACGATCTTATTACTTTCTCGTTGTGAAATCAAGTTCGGAGGATTAAAAATCAGGTTGACCCTTGGTCGTAAATTTAAAATAGCCATAGTGAAGGTGAAATTATTATTTTAAATAAATGTTTCTATACGAATTAAGAATCTATTCAACGTTTGTTTGTTGCAATACCGTGAAATAAATTGTATTATATATTTTCTCAGTTTAGACTGAATTTAAAGTTCGTAAGGATTAGAAATCAGGTTGACCTGTGGTCGTAGATTAAAAATAGCCATAGTGAAGGTAAAATTATTACGTTAAATAATTGTTTTTATACGAATTAAATATTGATTCAACGTTTATTTGTTGCAATACCGTGAAATAAATTGTATTATATATTTTTTCTGTTTACACTAAATTTAAAGTTTTGTTTACATGTTATAACAATTAGAATGTTGACGTTTTGCCGTTTCACGGTTTTTCCTCTGTTAATTATGTGTTTATAAATCATTTCAAACTAAAGCAGCACCATGCCCACCCTTAATTAAACCGTCTCAGTAGTTTACCGTAATTAATAATCTATTTTCGGAATTTATACGAGAATTTTTGAATTTTAGTAAATACTAGAGTCAGTGCATCGCGTATTGAAATAATAGCTTATACAGATAATCTGGGTAACGTGTTGACGATACACTTTCGAGTATAGACGTTAAAGTTCATAGAGTTCATAGAGTTATTACCGTAATTAATAATCTATTTTCAGAATTTATACGAGAATTTTTGAATTTTAGTAAATACTGGAGTCAGTGCATCGCGTATTGAAATAATAGCTTCATCCCTAGTTCGTTTATTATTGAATAGTTTTACGTGTTTAACTTATGCTTCTCCCCTATTCTCGTCGCGTATTTTATTCAAATTTTCTTATATTCTAGAATCGAAAAAGATATGAATTCGCGTATTTTCTTTTGATTCTTTCAATTTTTCCAAACATCTCCGAGTTTGTTCGTCCTCGAGGACAAGAGTATTGCCTCGGCAATGCAGGCCCACGCTCCCACTTCCTGGGACTTTCCCAGGGAAAATTGGCTACTTAAGGGAGCCCCGAAAAAGGCACGAGGCCTTTTGTCGTAGACATTCTCTGCACGCGCATCACATAGTACATTTGAAATTATTTTAAGCATTACGTTTAAATAAATATAATTTCGTTACCCACTTGGCGAGTAATCATTTGCACCACGTCACTTCCAAATATCCATCACGGATCGGTAATAAAATAATAAATTTTTAAAATAATAATTCAAAAATAAATAAATTCTTTAAAAAATAATTCGGTCACGAAAGGAGAACTGAAATATTGAAGAGAACTGCGAATATTACGATCTCATTCTAACGTGACATTTAAAAAATTTTTTCTTTGAGGCATAAAAATTCCTGTCTCGGTTGTAACTGTTTCTACTTGTGCAGTATATATTCCCGAGACGAGAATTATTTAAGCATTGAAAAAGGCGAACGGCTAGCACTAGCACGTTCACGAGAAGAGAACGTTTCTTGCGGCGGCGACGATCATGGAGAGCGACAATGCTCTGCCTGTAACTACTTGTCCTCTCCGCGTTGCATTAGCGTTCTGATAGTAACGTCTTCCTCCACTTTGTCTTTGCCACTTCCATCTATTGTCGGACCGCAATTATTTTCCTGTTGCCACGACTCAAACGCTGTGGAAAATACATTTTCATCTAACGCTCGATCCATCATAAGTTCCACGATGTAACGTTCGCGTGCCTCTAACGTCTTCAGTCTTCGTTCAACGTAATTGACGCTCGCACCGTAATCGTTTCCGTGTACATTCTTAGCGAATGCAAAAATCGATAACGAGAAAGCGTTCCGAAATGAACGCTTTTCCACCGTATTTTCATACAATATTTACCTCAAACAATTGTTCAATAAGAATAAACGAAGATCAATTGTTGGAATCTACGATTGAAAACATTTCCACCAGACTAAGATTTAGAACATTCGAATACCTGTAAGAAATTTTTTTCAGAAAAAATTGACAGATAAATTTACAAAAATAACCTGTTATATTCTAACAAGGAGTTGTACTATAATTTTGATTACAGAACGAGTAAAATATTAATTTCTCAAGTCTATGTTTCAAAGTCATTTTCCATATATGAACAGAACTGTGTGTCATAAATAACGCATAAATTTAGATAATTGTCTTTTATAAATGAAAGTGCAGCAAGTAGCTTAAACAAATACCGCACGTTTTATTTTTCAAATCATTTTCCACATATTCACTCAACTGTGTGTCATAAATCATACATAAACTTAGATAATTGTTTCTCATAAATTAAAATGCAGTAAATAGTCCAAACAAATTTCACATATTAATATTCCCAAGAAGGTCCAATTCAAACGCTTCGACCACCGAATTTATTACTTTCTTTTCCCCTAAGGAGAAGATAATCGCTACAATTCGCACTTTACGTCTCCCGCATCCTGCAACCTACTATATCCCTTTCCATACGTTATCCCCCGAAACTCGGCCATTTACATACCGGCATGCTTTCGCAAAACATCCTTCCACTCCACCCCGGTAGCTAATGATAATTTGCCCCCGCTCCGATGCTAGCCGGTTTTCAGGGGTAACTTGTGGACGCGCAAGAAATCGAGAAAACCAGGAACGAAGCTGCCAGATTAAACAGTTCTAAACGAGTTTGTACGGAACACTAGTCCGTTCCTTGGTCCCCGCTCGTATTGTAGTGGCCCGATTCTGTTTATAAAGACGACGTATTCTCACGTGATGGACGGTCCTTGATGAGGTCATTAGTTGCTTTCATGAACCGCGCTCGCGTAACCGGTGGTTAAAGATCGGCCTTAATGGCTGGCCGGGTCGGTTTGCGGGAATAACTCAAAGGGGGCCGTGCTCGATTCGTGAAGCTTTATAACGAACCGGAATCGTGCATTTCGCGTAAATGCACAGAGCTGGTTCCTGAAAAAAAAAATCCCCCGCTCTTGCGCTGACGCGTAAGATTAATCGTAGTTTGAAAATTATTTCTCGCCGCATCCTCCCCTTATACTTTCTTCCCGTTCTTTCTCTTCTATTCTTAGACGTTCGGCTTCCATTTCTTCGTTGCGTATAAAGTGGTAGATTCAATGGTTCTCCACTTTTCATTTACGATTTTCGCCAGGTAATTGCTTTCGATCTCCAGTCACGAGGTATATTCTTCGAACTGATATTTTACCTTGTGTAAAACGTATATGTGTAACGTCTTGTCAAGAATCGAAAACTCGTTATTCCTAGCGAAACATCTCTCTAACAATTAACGGCGCGCTCTTAGAAACGGGTACCTTGCTTTAATGGAAGTATCTCGTCTAAAACAAGCTCTTGGCACTACGGATGGAAACCTGCAAAGAGTACGTTTCCACCCGCGTTCGAGAATTCATTTTGACGCGAGCAAACGACGTGCCGCTTGCACACACACACACACACACACACACGCATATGTACACGCATACACAAAGAGAAAAGGTTGAGATGGAGCAGAACCAGAGAACATTCTGACCAGAAAACTATTTTACTATGATTTTCAGGCTTCTATTCGATGCGAAACAGCGACACCGGTTCGTGGTTCATACAGGCCCTTTGCCGTGAGCTGAATAAAAATGGAAAGACCCACGATCTGCTCAGGATAATGACTTCGGTGATCCGGCACGTCGCCATTGACTATCAATCGTACGCGCCCCACGCGCCGAATATCCACAAGAAAAAGCAGGTTCCGTCTATAGTTTCCATGTTGACACGGTTAGTGTACTTTTCCAAGGACGAGATGGACGATGCATTGAAAACTGCAAGACGCTCCAGATTATCTTTGGACTTCTAAGCGGCAATTCGACGGTTAATAATAATCTTCCAGAGACGTAAGAAACGCCTAGGAACGAAAGAGACGAGAGAAACACGACGGATCTATTTTTCTCTTTGTCATCCTCTTGTACACCGAGTGTATATTTGCGCCGGAAGATTCTGTTCCTCTTTTTGTCGGTTTCTTTCCCCCACCCGTTGGGGAAACTGAGTTTCCCCGGCGAGATTTCGAACGAGCACCAGCAGGCTGATGATCCTCCGCAAATTTTCCCGGTTAATATCGCGACGGGATCCAATTATACGCAAAACTAGCGTTGACCATTGTGAAAATTTTCAGCCGTACACCGTTTAATTAATGTGCGATGGTAATTGATATGTTCGATACGGGGAGAACGTGGAATACCGATGTAGCCATTATGAAAAAGGTTAATACGTGTACCGGGGCAAAGAGAGTTTTGTGACATGGTTCGTTTGAATATTAAAAATAATGAAAGATTATTCAACTGTAGCTTCTATTTGAGGTGCTTCGATTAAACCTTTCGAATCATTTAATTACCAATTTTAAATACGTAACGTTGGATTGCTGCAAAGATGACGAATCATTTTTCTTGATACAACCATATTTTCACTATTGTAGAAATACAGTAAATTCTCCACAAGTGTCAGTCCGTAAGGAACCTAAACCTGACACTTGTAGAGTTAGGGACTACGTTTTCGAGCCTCGCGCCCGCCTTTGTAGTTTGACGAACGTAGACAAGACAGCGAATAAAAGATAAGGATGAAACGTGAGTCGCGAGGCAACCAAGCGATTTAAATACCAACTTTTTTAATTTTACGTTCTTTTATCCCGAAATTTTTCTTAACATATTGATGAGATTTTTCTGATGAAAATGACATCAAACACGACATAATTTGAACAACATTTACTTATTAATACTTATTGAGTAATTTATTTAATGTCGGCCTACCTCCACGTAAAAAAAAAAAAAAAATGTAGGGCCGATTCTACAAGTGTCAGTCTCAAATGTAGGGACGATTCTACAAGTGTCAGTCTCAAATGTAGGGACGATTCTACAAGTGTCAGTCAAACGGTAGGCCGACTCTGTGGAATGTAATACAGGGCGTCTGTTTTATCTCAATACAGTGAACAGTGAACGTGTTAATAAGTAAATGTTGTTCAAATTATATCGTGTTTAATATCATTTTCATCAGAAAAATCTCACCAAAATGTTAAAAAAAATTTCAGATGAAAAAAAGTAAAATTAAAGAAATTATATTTTTTCTATTATGAATTGTCGAGCCGTGAAATCTCGTAAAAGAAACCGAGTGGTGTAGCGTTATAACATAGGCGCAGCAATGACGCAGCCTAGTCGTAGGACCATCTATACTGACACTTGTAGAATCCAAACTGACTGACACTTGTAGAGAATTTACTGTATTATGTTTGACTCATAGAATGGGTGGTCTGTGAATTGAGCTGGTCCTGAGCGGGCCCTATTTCAAACCGGAGATCATTGGTATGAAATGAATAATTTATTGATGTAAAAGAAACTCTTGAATGTATTAGGTTGTTGCTGATGAAATGACCGAGGTGTTGATAAAATTTTCAACGTATACAGTTTCAGTAAGAATATAATATTCGTTAATTTATGCCCTTCTTTATTTTTGGACAAAATAAATTTTCGTCCAACTGTAAAGTATTCAATGGAATTTAATTTGGATCTATGGTTAACTTTCATACACAATCTGCCATTTAGCAATAAAGTAACTAAATAATTACAATAAAAAATTCATGCAACAATCTAATATATCTTCTTCATGAAAACCTGAAGTCACCTTATGTTTGATATAGCACAATATATTTTTCTTTTCTCAAACTTCATAAAAAAAAAAAAAAAACGAATTCAGTAACGTAACAGTAACATTTGAATTATCTGATCCTCGAGTAATTTAATTAGTGAATTAAACTGGTGAATTGTATTTCAACTGAAAATTAAATTATTCTCCAGCTCGAGAAATTCTATCGTTCCGACAATAAGTACATACGCGTTTCTTTTAATTACAACTTCTCCTTTCATCTCTGCGCCAACCTAATAATTAATAATAATCTTCTAGACACGTGTAACGGTTCACATTCGAGAGTACCAATACGATAAGACTCTTTTCACATGGACTTTGAACAGTCGGTGCTTCGCATTAATAAGATTAAACTTTTCGCGAGTAGACGTTTCTTTTGTAGCATCGAATTTTCAGAGGAAGAGATCAGCCCGGGAAAAGTTGGCACATTTGTGGCTAACGAGCCGCGTGAAAATGTAAATTCAATCTTACGAGAGAATAAACGGTGCACTTTTAATTTGCCTGCCGGAAGATTATCCTTGCACAAGTTTCATACGTTCGCTGCCACCGACGCAGCGTATGCGGCCCAAAATATATTGCACAGCGTGCTATCGACTCTACGGTGGCAGTGAACGAACGTCGATTCAACAAATTGGAGAAATGTCTAGATTAGTCTTTACAATTTCTACAAATTATACTATTTTCTTTTATAGAATCCACGTTGCATACAAATTTTTTATACATGCATCGCGCTTCTATAATTCGATATCTGTTATCGTTCCCTATGCATGCACAATATTGTGAACAGTTTCGTTGCAGTACGATTCTAAATTTTTCATTTCTTCTTATTTTTCGTTTGGTAATTTCGACTGCACTCGCTATTTCTTTGGAAAAAGAAAAACAGTACATTGCCCATTTGAAACGGTACAGGTGGATAAGGAAGACCTTAGCCGGCCGATATTATAAGGGACGAATAACGAAGTGCGCTCATTACTTCATTTGCAGCTGTTCACGGCGTTTAATGAACGCGATAAATAACTTGCCTTGTGATATATGCGAGGCAGAATTTTCTTCCCTTTTTAAACAAATTAAAAGTCACTTTACGGCTGGCTTTAAAGAAGCACGGCACGAAAGGTACCGTGTCGTGATACTTTTTTATTATTTCTCCGCGTGCACTCCTTCTTTCTGTGTCTTACGCCGACTTACGTTTTCCCATAAACAACCATTTTTACTATATAAAGATGAACATCAGCCCTGGTGAGGTCGACGATAAAAATTTCGATTCTTTTCTACGAGCACTATCACAAGGAAATGAAGTCCTCGTAACGTACGTTCGCGATCTCACGTCTGGAAATATGAACCATGAACGTTTTTTATTTCGCTATTAATTCCTTGCTGCGAAAGTTGATACGAATATATGTTGCGTATGATGAACCGACGACGATGTAGATGATAAATCCTGTGTAACTGAATTCTATTTACACGATTATTTTACGTTATCGCTTGTCTGAGAACGTGAAATTTTGTCTAACAAGATAACATCCCAAAACTTACACTTTGGTGTATCGCAGCACTAAACAAAATATTCGACACGTATGTTTTTCATCAGCAATCGTTTACATTGAAGGGGTGAAAATTCACACTAGAAGATGAGGGTAACAGATATATTTGGTCAAAATTGTCGATCGTTTTTTATTTCTCAAATTTGGTCAATTTACACCATTCCTCTATTTTTAATAGTTTCTGAGATATTAGACTAAATATATTTACCGCCGCCAACTTCGAGGACGGTTTTCACCCCTTCTCCGTAGAAAATCGCCGATACGAAAAAAAAATACGTATCGAATATTTTTTTGAGAACTACTGTATACCAAATTTTCGTCAAAATTAGTGATTATCACTTCGAGATGTTTCCTTACAAGAATCATTTTTCTGTGAATCTAAGTATATGGGATTTTTACGAATATAATTGTGTATCTTTTTTATTGCATACGAGAGAGAAAAGATGAACACGCCTTAACAGAACGAACGATAGAATTGTCGATGAATTTTTGAATGTTAGTCCGAGTGCATGTTAAAACATACAGCATAACGAAAGAAGACGTAATTGGTAGACACGGTTGGAGGACATGGAAGAGAAACGAAACGTAAGGAAACAAAAAGCAGACGGTTTGTAGTCGGACATGTTTCCCAAGGAACCGTACAGGAACAGTATCTTCTTGGCTTTTTCTACACGAGTTAAAAAAATATTAAAAAAAAAAAAAAAAAAAAAAAAGAAAACGAAAAATGAATAAAATTCATCGATTTTAATAATTAATTTCGTATAACAATTCCATTTACCTGTACTACGACCTTATATACAGGTGTACCTTATTGGAAAGAATGTAAATTTTGTATTTCTTAAAACATTTTCTTGTTCCATAAAGTATATAAAAAGAAAGAACGTATATCGAAGTATTAGTAAATTTTTCATTAATACCCTAACAATAGAATAAGGATAACATTCGATATACTGACACCACTATATTATTAATATCGACGTCAGCATGTTCGAAGTAGGATAAGGTATTAATCGATACAGCAGCTGTGTTAATCGACAAACATATCATCTGTTATCAGATAAACGCCGATTAACACGTTGATTACTATAAATCACACGATGACAGTTCAATTTTCTTAGATTGCCCGTTTTCAGTACAGTTTACGCGGCAGAAAGTATAATATATGAACGCAGTATCAAGTTTGTTCTCCGCAGGTATACGATGTTTCTACCATAGACATTGAACCAAAACTGTAATCAACACCGTTACTGTAATTAATGCTGCGATTAATATCGTAGCAGGATCGATGATTGTGTTGCAGCACGTAGCCGAAACGAAAACCTGTCGCGTGCAAACAAAATAGAGAATGTAAAATAATGTTTTCGACTCAAAGAGTAATCGAAAACGTTGTCATTGTTTTTTTTTTCTGTCTCATATTGCTATATCAAAAAGAAGAAAAATACACATATATAAATAGTCATGTACGCATACTCTGATTAATAAATATCATTTTTACTAAAACCATAGACTTGGAAAATTTCATCGACACCTTGATCATTCGCATCCGCGACAACCTAATACAGTAATGTCTCCACAAGTGTCAGTCCGCAAGGAACCTAAACCTGACACTTGTAGAGTCAGGGACTACGTTTTCGAGCCTCGCGCCGGCCTTTGTAGTTTGCCGAACGTAGACAAGGACAGCGAATAAAAGATAAGGATGAAACGTGAGTCGAGGCAACCAAGCGATTTAAATACCAACTTTTTTAATTTTACGTTCTTTTATCCCGAAATTTTTCTTAACATATTGATGAGATTTTTCTGATGAAAATGACATCAAACACGACATTATTTGAACAACATTTACTTATTAACACGTTCACTGTCACGCCAGATATTTCACTGTATTGAGATAAAACAGACGCCCTGTATTACATTACATAGAGTCGGCCTACCGTTTGACTGACACTTGTAGAATCGGCCCTACATTTTTTTTTACGTGGAGGTAGGCCGACATTAAATAAATTACTCAATAAGTATTAGTAAAGTATTGATAAAAAAACAGCAAGCGAGGATACCATAGGCGTAGGACCATCTATACTGACACTTGTAGAATCCAAACTGGCTGACACTTGTAGAATCCAAACTGGCTGACACTTGTAGAGACATTACTATATTTCTTTGGTTCGTCAAAAAACTTTCACACGAAGTCGGCGTGGAAAACGAAGAAATCGAAGTGGAGTGAATAAATTCGTAAGTAAAAGACTAGCGGAATTGTACACATCACCGGGAGCCAGAAATCCCATGTCGCTGAAAGTCTGATCTTGC